TGATGTCACATTACGGAATATCCTGGTCTGACATACCGTGCACATTGTAGGGGGAACAAGGAGTTGTTGGCGGCGGCGTGTAGGTGGTGGTGCGGTTGTATGTGTTATGTGGTCTGTCCTGGCTGTGGTATGGTCTGCGGTGTTATTGTGTTGTTGTGTTGTGGTGACTGTGTGTGGCTGCTCGGGCGGACTAAGGTTAGCCGTGGAGGCTGCTCTGTTTGAGCAACAGGGGGCCACGTACGACGTGGTCCACTGTCTATGTGTCCGTAGTCCCGAGCAGACTCTGAGGTGACTCCACCCCTCGCAGGCATTACACTTGACTGAGGTGGAGTTGTGGTGTAATCGTCTTCGGCATACACAGCAGGTGTAGGTTTCTGGCCCTGGGTTTGACTCGATGCCAGCCCTGAGTAGAAGAATACGTAGTGAATGTAGCCCTATGGACGGACAACTTCTGAGATACTTCGCCGACCTAAACGGGGTTAGATCGCCGAAACAACAGCCCTTGGTCGGGTAAAACCCGAGTCATTCCGGTACGTAGAACCGGCTGTCGTGGGAATGTTTTAGTCGATTGTCTCGATTGTTCAGATATCTCGATGGTTCTCGATGTTTTCCCTCGTAGGCGAATTTGTGACGAAATGCTAGTCGCGAATAAAATATAAGAATCGAAACAATTGACCAAGGCGAATTTAATATGAATACGCCTTGCAATCAACCAAAACATCTCTGAATTACCTTGGTATTTCGTCTCCGTTTTGACTCTGCACGCGATTTTCGCTCGAATAGGAACCAAGCAAAACAAAAGAAAATCGACAAATGTTAAATTCAGTGACTTCTGTGATTTTGTGCAAGTGGATGGAGAAATATGATTTTTAGATTAGAAAATTTAAATAAAAGTAGAAGTTTGGAAATGTGTAAAATCTTGTGTGCAAAAGTGCCCAGTAGTCAGAAGTGTTTGTGAGTGCCAAGGGTTTGTGAATAAGTGCCAATTGTTGACTAGAAAGTGTCTTTGTACCAATGTGTTTATGGATTATTATAAAGAAAATCAGTTTGAACAACTACAGTGTACTTTTATATAAAAATGCATTCGTTTTATAAAAAAGCCCATGCCTTTATATATGAATGTACATGTGTTTTGTTTTCATCAGTAAGTAATAGCCGATTGTTTATTTAAAGAAATGTGCAAAAAGCGATGTTTCGAGCCAATTGATGGATAAAGTGTGCTTTTAGGGGCATTATCAACAAGACTATTGTTTATTTAATATAAATTAATTACAGATTTACGTTCTTTGATCATATACCAACCAGACAAAATATCTCGGACTAGCTAGGGCCCATGGCAATTTTATTTGTTCATGCAGTAAATTTTTATAAAGAAAAAATGGAATCATTGCAATTAATACGTATCTATAATAATTAAGGAGAAACAAACAAAACACCCTTGTTGGTTGGTAAACAAATACATGAGATCAATTATAGTAATTATTGGATATACGGGCTTCTACGGATTTTTTTTTTAATTTTCCTATTATAAAGAGGACATAAAAGTAGGAGTTTTAATGTTATGAATACTTATTAATTAAACAAAAAACGATATTCTAAGTAAATTTTCCTTAGCCCATATATCCAAAAATTATCTCAATGAGTATAAATTCGATTAAAATATCAAAAATCAATGAAAAGTATTTAAGTCTAAATTCTCACTTAAAAATAAGAGTTGATCCAGTCTTTTTGGATCCAATCTGTTTCGCCTCAAATTGGTAATCATACCAGCTTTACTAAATATACGTTCCGAGGGCACAGAAGTTGCAGGAATATTCAGATATTTGGAAGCTAGTGTATATAGTTCTGGAAAAGTAGAATGATGAATTTTCCAAAACTGCAATGGATCCTGCTTACGATCGAAATGAGGCATTTCAAGATATTGTTTTATTATTAAAATAGCGCTAGCTGTCGGTGTTGTAGTGGAGGTTATAGCAGCAACTTTCTGGTCGAAATGACCCCACAGCCCATTCGAATCTTTCGTAGTATCGGTAGAAGTTGCTGTGGAAATAGTTGGCAATTGATCGTCCTCAGAAACCCTTTGACTCTCAATTAATCTGCTTAATTCATCGGTGATCCACTGGTGAGCATTGTCGGCGTTCTCTCCATTACCGAACGCAGCTTTCTTAAACCTGGGGTCTAAAAATGTAGCTTTTGCTACGGCTTTTAGAGTTTCTAGAAAACCAAGTCTTCTAGAAATTACTTCCAGAAGATTTAGTTTTAACTGCTTTCCGACGTCTGTTGTGGGGCTTTTATTTTTTATTTCGATTTGAAGTCCTCGGATAAGAGGGGTGATACGCGACATCGTTGAATATGTTTGGCCTGACAAATCTTCAGTTAAAATTAGGACTGGTTTAAAAATTTGGATGCAGTCATCCACGGCCTCCCACTCCAAGCCGTCTAAATTTCTTGGTGCATTGACTAAAGAAGAAAGAGTTGCTGTCAGAGCCAATTTCAATTTACGTAGCCTTTCCAGCATAACGACTGTAGAGTTCCACCGAGTGGATACATCTTGTTTAAGTTTAAGCTCATTTATCCCCATCTGTTGTTGGAGTTCCCTCAACTTGTATGCTGCCACATTGCTCTGTTTAAGGTAAGTCACTATAGACCTACATTTAGATAGTAAATTGTCCAGGTCCGGATTGTACTTAATACTATCCTGAACTGATAAATTAAGCGTGTGAGCTACGCAAGGATGATGATTTTTACGCAGGTGTTCTAAAACATCTTTTTTCATGTTTGCCGCATTGTCCGTTACAACTGTAACGATTTTGTCAGTAATTTGCCATTTTGATAGAATATCTAAAATCGCTTGGCCGATATTAATGGTGGAATGGTCAGTTTTGACTTCTTCGGTTGACAAAGCTAAAGATCTGGGCCCTTACTCTGTAGTTCGATTCGAAAGAAAATTTGTTCGCTTTCGAACGATTGGTACTCTGAAAGCACCTTTCGAGTAACATTCGTTCGATGTTCGAATTCCATTCTGTTCCCTTCGAATTTTCTTTATCCCCTTTCGAATTTTCGAAAATTTGGTACTCCCTGCATCGAAAGCAAATGTCAAAATGGTGGAATTGTAGAAAATTCTATTCGACAGCAACCAAGCACTCGGACGTCCGCAAAAATGTAAGTAATTGCAATAATATTTGTGAAAATGTGTATTTATTTAATCAAAAAATAATTTTTAGGACAACGAAAATCAAACAACCAAATACCAAGCCTCGACAATTTGAAATATTGGTAAATTTTATGATGGAACACAGCGATTTGGCGAAAGGTCAAATTAAGGGTTTAGCTGCAAAGCAAACCTCTAATAATCTGTGGAAGAGGCTAGAAAATGAGCTTAATTCATGCGGACCTCCAACTCATAACTTCACTGAATGGTAAAAGGTAACAAATTTATTATGTTTTTGTGAACCATATTGTAAAACGTTATAATTTTTTTTTATGTAGATATGGGCAGATTATAAAAGCAATATTAAGGCGAAGTTGCGAAGGAATAAGGAGAGCATGTCGGGAACAGGAGGTGGACCATCGAGATTCTGTTCATTAACTGCGACGGAAGAACAAGTGGTTGCGTTACTGAACATAGATGAATCTATAAATGGCGAGACTGAAACAATGCGCTTTGGTGCTACTACCTTCGGCGATCCTGCATCATCTAGCCCACTTGACTGTATAAACTTGGAGCCTGAAGAATATCCAAGTAATGATGCAGAGAATCAGCCACCGAATGCTATCCCCACTACGCCACCGATTGTTATTGCACCCCCGAATCGCGCACGCTCACTACCACTCGGCAAAGACAATTTGCTAAAACTGCAAGTGGAAAACCAATGCCAATATCACGAAAATTCGATGAAAAAGCTGGACGAAGTATGTGATAATTTAAATAGTTTAAGTAGATATTTTAAGAGGAATGTTGAGCTCGAAGAGGCTAAACTTCAATTAAAACGAGAAAAATTTGAATTTTTCAAAAAAAATGAAAAAAAGAAAAGAAAACTGAAATTAAAAGCACTGAAGCTAAAAGCTAAACTTTGTAAATAGTTGATTTAAGTGTAGTTATTTTTACGAATTCATATTTTATAAGTTTTTTGTTCCTTTGAAGACTGATGAATTGTTTTTTAAGTTATTTATTTTTTAAATAGCAGATTAAGGTACAGCAGTTGCTTGGTTGTATTAATCAAAAATAATGAATATTTTTTATTTTTATGATAATTTCAAATCCAAGCAATCAATGAATTAGTTGTATGTAATTTTTTGTTGAATTGTTACCTGTGAATGAAAAGGCTAATGAATATTTTTACATTTTTTTTATATACCAATGAAACTAAACTATATTTTGTGTCTTAGGTTCCTAGAAATGTTTTACATATGTAATTTTATAAAATGAAGACTGAAAAAATACTTTTATTTTATTTATTTATTGTTGATATTTTTACAATATTCGCAATGTTTTTAATTCTGAAACTTTTTTAATACATTTTTTAAAAAAGTAAAGCTGATTATCTAACAGAAATCATAGAAATCTAAGTTGTAAACTTGTGTCAAAATTAGGAAAATATCAACAAATTTTCATACAAATAGCCAACTTTTTTACTAAAATTACTTGAAAAAAATTTGGCCTGTTAAACTTAAATATAATGTGGAAGTTCGAAGTCCATAAAAAATTCCGTTGATTTTTGATAACTTTCTTTGCGGTGTTGTGCATTTTCTTCCATATAAAAAAATATACTTTGTATGGAAAAAAATGTCCAAGACCGTCAGCAAAGAAAGTTATCAAAAATCAACGGAATTTTTTATGGACTTAGAACTTCCACATTATATTTAAGTTTAACAGGCCAAATTTTTGTCAAGAAATTCTAGTAAAAAAGTTGGCAATTTGTATGAAAATTTGTTGATATTTCCTAATTTTGGCACAAGTTTACAACTTAGATTTATACGATTTTTTTAGATAATCAGCTATACTATTTTAAAATATTTACAAAAAAGTTTCAGAATTAAAAACATTGCGAATATTGTTAAAATATCACTTTATGATTTGATTTTGAGCTACTATGTATACACACACTTGAATTAATAAAATATTTTGCTACACCTATGCAATTAAACTGTTTCTTATTTCATCTCTTAAGTTCCTAGAAATATTTGCTGTACTACTGTCCGCTTCCACCATATTCACAGTTTCTAATAAATGTACATCTTCTGTGGGAAAAACTTCTGAAGGTTGCAGCTCAGCTTTAAATTGCAGACAAATGTTGTGCAAAGCGCAGCAAACGTTCATTATAGCTGAAACCTTTTGCGGAGTATAATGCAGCTCGCGTGCTGCCAAAAGACATCGAAACCTTCCTTTCAATATTCCAAATACTCGTTCGATGATTGACCGTCCTTTGGCATGGCAGTGATTAAACCGGCCTCCCGCTGAATTTTCGGCGGCATTACGATAGGGAGTTAACATCCATGGTTCCAATGGATATCCTGAGTCGCCTTAAATAATTTGAATGCAATTATTAATATATTATCGATATTAAAGTATTAATTGATGCTAACCAAGACTCCATATCCCTCTCTCGCCATTATCAAAACGAGCTTTTAAAGCCCTTCTCTCACTGGACAGGTTCCATACATGGGAATCATGGCATGCACCACCGTATCGCGCGTCAACAGCTCTAATTCTCATCTTGTGGTCACACATCTAAGAATTTTAATTTGAAAAATTGTTGTTGAAAACCTTCATGATAATGCAATACTTACAACCATTGCATTCATACTGTGCTTCAGTTTTCTATTGTAGTACAAATGCTCATTCCTTGTTGGTCTTATCATTTGTATATGTGTGCCATCTATTGCAAACAACACGCCCGGAATGCCACACTTTTCATAGAAGTATAATTTCGCCTCTGTTTCCTCTGCGTCCGTACTTGCAAAATTAATGTGTTGTTGGCAAAGCGTTTTCTCAATGGCTTTGCACACTTCAATAAGGCAGCGTGACATTGACTGCTGAGAAAGGCCTACGTGTTGGTCTTGGCCAATTTGGTGTTGGTAACCTCCTTGCCCCAATAATTTCAGTGCGGCGGCCAGCTTAATAATGGGCGGAATTGCTGTGGATTTTCGAGGAGTACTTAACTCCGGCGTAATGGCATTTAGCACGTACCGAAACGCTTGCTTGTTTAGGCGGAAATTTTGCGTAAAACTGTAAAGGGATAATTATAAATACATAAAATATAAATAGTCACAAATAAAGCAATCCTTTTACCATTTATCATTGAGAGTGAATATGTTGGCCTTATCCCTAAGCGCTCTCAATTGCACTCGTTCCGCCACTTGGCCTTCATCTGCTTCCAACCATATCGCCACTGAATCCATTTGGTAATTTTTTTTATCAAGGACTTTCACTAATATTAAATATATTTAACACAACAACTACTGAGTTCTTAAGTGCACAAACTTCACAATCGAAATGTTAGCAATTTCATCTTGTTTTGATTTTAGTTTCTTTCTTTATTTTGCTTTGCGTTTGACACTTGGCGAACAGTGTTGCTCTCTTTTTTCGAATATCTTCGAAAGTTGATTCGAACGAACTATGGAGTACGAATGGGGCTTCGATTCGAATTTGGCTTTCGAATAGAACAACCTTTCGACTCGAACTACAGAGTAAGGGCCCTGGTTTTGAAGTCGTAAATGAAATGTGCGGTGATAGTTATATAACATCGATTGCTGTCTGAAGACCACAAGTCGGTTGTTAAAGATACATAGTAGGATTTCTCTAGCATGCTTCTGAAATCTGAAATCATGGGATCATATACTTCTCCTAACACACTTTCTGATAATACTTTACGGGATGGAAGTTTGTGACGTGGTATATATTTTTTTGTAAAATAATTGAACCCACGATTTTCAACCATGCTTAAAGGTTGACAGTCGACGGCAATCAAGCGCATCACATCTCTTTGAAATTCAAGACGCTCATAATCGCTGGGTTCAAACGTTTTTGTCGAACCATATAATCTCATCTGTTTAACTCTTTTTGGAGCAGGTGGATACTGTCCACGTCTGATCAGCTGAACTTGTGGTTGTGGCTGAAGATGTGCAGGAAAATGTTGGGGCAGAACTTGTAGGTGCAAGTGCATGAGACTGAGTGGTAAGCACAACAATTTCGTTAGGAGTTTGCTGTTCCTGAAATTCTGTAAGTTGAATGGGATGCTTCCTTTTGAGGTGGTCATGCAAATAGGTTGTGCTTCCAAAATATTTGTAGCTCGTATTACACAATTTGCATTTAGCTGATGTTACCTTGCCACCATCCGAAATTTTATTAAAAAAATCCCAGACTATCGATTTTTTAAAACAGCGAGGCATTTTAAATTTCCGAAAAATACTTTTAACATTTGAATTTGTCTGCGCCATGTAAATATATTCAAAATAACTGCACTCTCAACATAGTAAATTTTGCATACATACCTGCACAAGTCTACGAAATCTATCGATGACACGACGTCGCCAGATAAGTCGGTCGACTCGAAATAGTCGAAAAACATCTCGATTGTAGAATCGGGCAGCGAGTCGATTATTGACTCGATTGTAATTTTGCAACGATGGCGATTCTCTCGATCCTTTAAACATCTCGGACTCGCCCATCACTAGAAGAAGATTTCATTTCAAAAAGGTCTTATGAGTACATTCCACATGACGAAAACTGCTTTATTTGCAAAAATATCTTACTCCACGTTGTTTTGAGCATATATTTTACAGAAAAGCGCAACTTTATAAAAATTCAAAGTTTAAACAAGCTGTGAAACTAACTACTTGACAGCTCATCGATAGCTCGAAAGCGATATCTGCTGCTATCTACTGCGATGGCGATGAGCAGTCTCCACTAGCGATTCATCGCCAGAGATCTATCGCATCAGATGAACAATCGCTAACGGAGACATCAAGTAATGCAGACTCCAATAGGCCTGGCACACGGTCAGTGTTTATTGACGTGATCCAAGTATCGCGATATTTATTGACGGTGTAGCATGCAGTATTGATGGATCGTGACACATATCGCAAAATTTCTAAAAATTTTGAAATCTGGATCGCGGATCGCAATATCGTCAATAAATATTGAACGTGTAGCACCTTCAAAACGCGATCCATATATTTCGTCAGTACATATTTTACTCTCATAATTCGAACATCGTATTCGCTATGCCTTCGTTTTCGATGCTTAAAACCATACAAAACAAGTTGAAAAAAATTTAATTAACATTGGAAATTTTAAAATAATTGTGAAATGCATTATCTGTAAATTATTTGTACAAAATAAAAATATTTTCTTGTATCATAATAAGCGTTCAACACAAAAATTATGCAAATACTGACGCGATAAAATTGAACATGTAGTATTCGTGCGCGATCCATCAATCCACCAATATGGATCGCGATCCAAATATCGGGATAATTACTGACCGTGTGACAGGGCCCATACATTAAAATATTTCAACAGCACACTCAAAGCCACATGTCAAAATTTACACACGTACAGGAAACATATGTTACACATAACATATCTAATAACACGATATCCTGTTAGATTTTTCAGTATAACATGCATTTACGCTACAAATCCGCGTTACATAACACGTTATTATATAACAAGCAGTGTTCTTGTAGGAATACCATCATAAGAAATTGTATCCGTTGAGGATTTGGGGCAAGAAAGAAATATAAAAATGTATGCTGAATTTGAACGTAAAAGCGCACGAATAAGTGCTTCAGAAAGTTGTTTCTCATAAAAATTACGAGCTTTAATAGGGGGAATTAAGACTAAAAAAACTGAAGTGTACCTAATGTCGGCCGCTGTGGTGTAGCGGTAAGCAGTGCTCGCTTTTACTCCGCAGCACCTGGGCTCAAGACCTGGTCAAAGCAACATCCCAAAAAAATATAGAAAAAAGGTTTTTTCTTAACAGCAGTCGTCCCTCGGCAGGCAATGGCAAACCTCCAAGTGAATTTCTGCCATGAGAAAGAGCTTCTCATTAAAATAAAATCGCCGTTCGGAGTCGGCGAAAAACTGTAGGTCCCTAAGCGTTGTGTGGCAACATAAAGGCGCACGCCACAAATCGGAGGAGAAGCTCGCCCAAACACTAACATATGTGTAAGCGCCGATCTATTATTATTATTATTATTATTATTACCTAATGTGCTGTTTTTTGCTTACGCGTAAAAGCACGTTTAGCGGATTTAGCTCTAAATGCTACTCTAACCATACAAAATTCGTCACCAACTCCATATCTGCATTAAGAAACTAAATGCTAAAAGCAACCGTGTGATCTCCGAAAAATACCCCGATTCGAACATGGTTTAAAAGGCCAGTATGCAGCTCTCAAAAAAGCAAAAACTCCATATAAAATGACGTACTACAAGAAATGGCTAAGAAATTCTCTTAAGTCAAATTTCCATAAGGCAGTACGCAGCTCTTAAGAAATTTACTACGCGTTCTACTACGGTTTTCTAAAGGTTTTTTGTGAAAAAAAGAGCACAAGGCAACCCATGCTTGCAACAGAAATTTATGCCCGTTCCATTATTTCTTGAGGAAAGAGTGAGGAAACAGGGTGTCACAGGCTCTGAAGTATCGACATGAAAATTCCTTGGACAGACACAGGAAATATAGGCAAATTTTTTCTTTACCGTTTTCTTGAGAGCTGCATACTGGCCTTTAATGAGAAAAACTGGTGGCATTAGGATTGTATAGTAACATCTCCAGTAAAAGATTGCAGCGAGAGCGGCTAGCTAATTTCTTCTAGTAAAAATTTCACTAATAGGAATTTGCAGCTCTCCCGTGTTAGTACGCTCTTGATTCAGGGCTCTCTAGTAGTATATTTATGCTAGCAGCGCTGCTTGCACTGGTCCAGAATCGGCATATGGTTTGCTGGTTGCACCGGTCCAGAACCGCTATACGGTTTGCTGGTGCTCTGCCGCAAGCTTTGCTGCTCCGCCAAAAGATGTCGCCGATCGTAATCCAAGTTCAGAGCCCAGATAAAAGCCGCAAGATGTCGCTGGTGACAAATCTGAGTCCGGAACCGGAACCGATCACAGGGTGTTCCGCTGATGGAAATCCGAGAAATCCGATACCATTCAGAACCGGAATCGATCACAGGGTGTACCGCTGATGGAAAGCTGAGAAATCCGATACCATTCAGAACCGGAATCGATCACAGGGTGTACCGCTGATGGAAATCTAAGAAATCCGATACCA